CACTGGCTCCCTACAAGGCACTTGCTGGTGAGGCACCGTTGTATCTTAAAAAGATTGTGGCTCAGGTTAGTCCGGACCAGCCCTTAGTTAAGCTGCTATAGGCTTAGAATGCCGGGGGAATTCTTAGGACACACCGAGCTCCTCTCTCACGCTCTCATTCTACCATAATTCACGGTTTATTAATGCACATGACTAATTCACCTTCTTTCTGGGAGTTTTTTTTGTGCTTTCTCCCCTAGCAGGTCTCCGTAGATCGTGGTTCCTTCGGGACCCTGGTCCTGACACCTGCCGTGGCCCTGCTGACGCCTGCTGCGGCCATCATCATCATCATTATTATTTTAGATATTAATCATATTACTGTACTCGTAAACCAACATTACCCTCTCCTAAAGTCTCTGTGCTCTCCCTCCCCACAGGCTTCTGTGGATGGTGGTTCTATCTGATGGTGGTTGCCCCTGCAGTGGTCCTGCTGTGCGCCTGGCTTACTACTCACAGTTACTTGAATCATTTCTGTCATAGGAATTGCATGTATTATATATTGTTCATTCTGTACACATGGCATCCATTGTAGTCTGTCCATCCCGGGAGTGGGATCCCTCCTCTGACGTTCTCCCTAAGGTTTCTTCCCTTTTTTCCCTCTTGGAAGGGTTTTTTCATTTTTTTGGGGAGTTTTTCCTGTGCCGTTAGTGGGTTTCGGGACAGAGGATGTTGTATGTGTACAGACTGTAAAGCCCTCTGAGGCAAATTTGTAATTTGCGATTATGGGCTATACAAAATAAAATGAATTGAAATTGAAAAATTCCCTCAGTGACTTCAAAATGTTCTATTAATTAGGTTATGGTTTTCTCCAGGTGCTGTGGTTTCTCCTTAAAAACCATTTAGAGCATATGGCCTTGAATTATTTTTCCTTCGCCTCTGGGCGGTTGGGCATCCATCCATCCATCCATCCATCCATCCATTGTCAAACCGCTTATCCTGCACCGGTTGGGCAAAATAAAAATATTTAAATAAAGTTAAAATAAAAAATAATTTATAACCAACGGAAGCCAGTATAATTACAAAGTGAACTAGAAAATGCACTTCCTGCAGAAAATGGTTGCAATGCGGAACAATTAAAGCTAAAGGCTAAAAGCTTAATTTTTTTAATTTCTGAAAATACAGAAATAAGAAAATCTGAAATGAAATTCAAAGAAATTGCTAAAAATACAGAAATGGGGAAAGCTGAAAGGACTTTGAAATTTCTACTAATTCCTCACAAAAGACATGGTGTTCAGAATGATTTGTGAGGCAGTACCAGTATACTATCCCAAAGAACTCATGTTGTAAAGTTGAACATGTCTTTCTCCTGCATGTGGAAAAGTCGTGAGCTGGTCCACCCCCTTGCTTAGTATGTGTGTTATCTGAGACTATACAATTGGAAGCCGAGGAAGAAAAGCTTTGAGTAGCCTTGATGCATGACTTGTACTCAAGATAAGTACTCAAACGCAGACTCGTTGATTAAGCACAAAAAATACTTTATTTTAAACAAACAGACAAACTCAAACAAAACAGGTTTCTTAGAAGCAACAAGCACAAATCCAGGGAAAAACTACATTGTGAGGGTCAAAGGGAAAAACCTCTGAGATCACAACAGAACATGATGGGTAGCAGTGACACTCCGGGGTCTAGACAGGCCAGACTTAGGCAGGAGATGCTGGCTGTGGGCATGTGGGTTCTGGAGGGAAAGGAGCCGAAGCTCCTGCGGGAGGTGGAGTGCTATCAGCTAGATCTGATGGGGCTTAACTCGCACAGACTTGGCTCTGGAACTGTACTCCTGGATAGGGGATGGACTCTATTTTACTACTGTAGTGGCCAGACAGTCCCACTGGAAGACTTCAATACACACGGGGGCGACGATGGGGATACAGTAACTGTAGAGGCGTGACTGAGAGGAACCCACCCTGATCTAAACCTAAACCTTAGTGTCGGATTGTCCATAACAAACACCATGTTTGAACATGAGCGACCGTCATGTGTAGATCTTTGCACCACTCGCACTTCCTGATTCATGATTGCTTGGATTACATATCTACGTATTTGATTGCATTCATGTTTGTATTGCGTTAGTTTTGAGTGCTGTAACAAATAACGTAACAATAGAAATAATAAAAATAAATAAAAACAATTGAAAGGTTTAAACGGTGTCAGTCATCTCTGTCTTCATGGTACATTGCTCGTGCTGATTCCTGAACGTCTCGTTTTTTTGGACATTAGTATCTCAATCATATTGGTTACACACGTTATGGCACAAAGCAAATCAGTAGACACACATTACAGCTCTCGCATTCTCTGTACATAGTATATGCATGTTCATACGTTGGCTAATTATAACCAGCCAAATGTTCTAACACACAAAGGGTCTGGTTGTATAGGCTGTAGTGTTAACACACACACTAATAACCTGCTTGCACACACACACACACACACTGTTAAGTATCCCCTGCAGCCTAAATGTCAAGTTACGTAAAAATGTTACGTTTAAATTAATGTCCTCACACTGCCGTGCACAAACCACCGATGTAGGCCAATTATGTCAGAATAGTTAAGCCTTTAATAAAGATGTGTTTTTGTTTGTTTTGCATTAGATTGGCAGTTGTTCGCTGAGAGAACATTCTGTGGCCTCTTAAGAAATATTCAATGTTTTACCTCAGTGAAACCTGGTGGCAGGTTGGCAACTGACAATAATTGTTTACATGGACCTCACAAGTGTCTATAGTGTCTATGTGTCTATGACTCCAGATTGAAAAAATACCTGGACCAACCGATAGGTATATCTCATAACAAACCACGAATAAACAAAAACTTTCAGAACAAAAATTTGTGTTTATTGGAAGTTACACTTGAAAGATTTCTTGACCGACAGTTGTCCAACCAGATTAGTAGTTTTTTTTGTAACATTTATAGGGGGATAATCTGAGCATCCATCAGGTTATCCCTTCACTCAGAGTTCCACTGCTTTCGTCTTCTTTAACGAAGAATTCCCTTGCTCTCAGTGACTCGTAAACTGAAGACTCAACTTCCTCCACACTGTTGAAACAACATTTACTCCAAACACTTCAATTGACTTGCTGGCTCATGTCTTAGCCTTAAATTGAAACTTCACTTGCACTCGGCCAATTTCAGCTCCTTTCAGCACTCCGCCTTCAACTGACACTTCAATTACTTCTAGTGTTTTGACCTCAACTGATACTGCACCTTTTCCTCACACTTCCTTTTAGCATTCGGTTGTTCGGCATTTCAACTGTTTCTGATGTTGCAACGTGTTTCCGTACCTGTGTTCTAACTGCCGCTTCAACACTTTTATTATGTGAGTTATTTCAAATATTGAATGCGCACGCAGATTTACTTTTTTGCCTTAAGCTGCATCTCACACAATTTTTTCAACCACTTTCAATGGTTACACGCTTCACCTGAAACTTCAACTGACAACTTCATTCAGTTAATACAAGACAGCCGGCATTTGTTTCTTTCAGAACGTCCACTGCAATTCATCACACTTCATGTCCACTTCATCGCCTGTCAGAGCTTGAACCTCAATGATGAGTCAATCTTCCTTTGAACTTCTTTCAGTTACTGTTTTTTCAAAGGCCACATCAACTTAAACCTCATTTTGTATATTTTAAATGTTTCATCTGCAAATTTCCCGCAGTAAATGTTCTACTTTTGTTGTTCTTACTACATCTTTCACAAGACCGCATACCTTCCTGTGTGTTTATTTCCCATTTTACACATCCAGAGGGATTTCCGATACTTTTGTCGGATAAACGCTTGCGTTGTGGCTCTTTTCTCTGTCCTCATAAAAGCACTCCCCTTGTAGGTGTAGATGTGGGGTTTATTGTGTAGACACAGGCTCTTGGGATCATGCTGTACATGTCAAACGTACCTTCAGAACACCAGGGCATGGTGTAATCGTCAGAGAGATGTTTCGCAGAGCAAGGAAAGCAATACTCCCAGTCTAGTAGGTTTGAGTTGTGTGAAGATCTGATTTTCGCAACATAATTAATACCTTTACCTCAACTAAAAGACTAACAAATTGTAGCACTTAAATTGTACTTATAATTGCACTTATCTATAGCAAATTGTAAATTGGCTTATTTGAGGAAATTGCACTTTCCTGTTTCTTGCTCTTCTCAGTTTGTATCCCTATGGTTGAATGCACTTATTGGAAGTCGCTTTGGATAAAAGCGTCAGCTAAATGACATGTAATGTAATATTTAATTTCACTTATTGTGTATTCTTGTTTTTTTATCTTGCATATTTAGAATATTTGTTTTGATGTTGTTTCTTACTTTTTTACTCTTGTTTGCACTTTGACCACACTGCTTTAAATCCTCTGCGGGATTATCTCATTTTACCTTAACATGGCATCAAAATGTAATTTGACTAGATTCCATTCACCTCCATTATTTTGGCTGGATGCAAAAACCTCAGAGACAGATATTGATAAAGATAAAGATAAAGAGAGATAAAACAACAATCGGCATGATTAGACGGGAGAGAAACTGCTTGTGTTTTCTCTTTTGTGTGGGAACTGACCCTTTAGGACACCACCTGAAGGAACTAAACGTAACCTGAGGACTGTACGCGATTTGCTTCCATTCATCCAAGTCTCTGTTTCATCCTGACATAATTAATGCAGGAGATCCTGCAAGAGCGATGGGGAGAGTGTGGAAAAAAAAATAAAACTGCATGGCGAGCATGACAGGACGACATAATAAGCACAATACAAACTCACACGCACGCACACACACACACACACACACACAGCTTTCATTGTTGTGCGTTGCAGTCACTAGGTACACAAGTTACCATTAGGTCCAAAAAACACCCATGAAATGTAGAAAAAAAAGAGAGGAAAACATGTTTAGCCGCATGGGGACAATCCGTCCCTGAACAGAGGGGAGAAGGTACGGAGCTGCTCACACATAAAGTCAGTCAGTCATGCAAAATAAAGCCATGAGAAAAGGGTCTTTTTGCTCTTTATTTCAACATTAACAGTCATGAGAGACAATGTGCAGAGTGGAGATGCGATGCAGCCACGGTGCGTCTGAGTCCTCTTACGTCTATCAACTTTGACGAAGATTACATTTTCATTTTGCCCCCCCCTGACTCAGTGCCTGCCCTCTTACTCACCGCAGGTCACTGAAAAACACATTACGTTCAATGGTTTTTGAATTCCTGGCTCCCCCATATACTGTTAAATACATGTATTATTAAAGAACAAGGATTTAACTGGAAGTGTAAGACTGTCAAACCACAGATATGGAATGGGCCGGCTGCATTTTTCTCACACAATCACTCGCACCACCTGATGTAGTAATTCCTGTTATTGAACTTCCTGTTAGCGCAAAGCTTTCCTTTTGTGCTCCCTGTTTACGGTTGAGTAAGCCCTATGAATCCGCCAAACAGGAGCTGCGACAACAAAAGGGTATCAAAAAAGTAGTATCAAATCATGTAGGAGATGACTCACCTCTAGATATTAAATAAATAAGACATTTTAGTGCTTTAAAGACAGACACTACTCATAATGATGACAATATCAAGCCATGTACTCTGCTTAGCCAGCAGGATACGCATCAGTGTTACCGCTCCAATCCACAGAAACAGATCAAAAATTTGATCAGTACTTCTGGTATCTGACAGGCACTGAATCCGATTGTAAAGAGGCTGCAGAGAATCTCTGTTTTTTGTTGCTGACCAAAAAGAGCACTTAAGCGTGCAGGTGGTGTTCTTGATGAAGGGAACCTCTCTGTGCACATAGTACAGCGCTCAGCTTTATTATCTTTCAGCAGCTTCAGCAGAAAGTCACACTGTATCCTAACAAAAAGCAAGCTGTTGTTTACTGTTTGACAACACTGCAGACCTCACATTCCAAGTGACATATCAGATCACTCCTCTAGGGCTGTTTCTCTTAAGAAGTGGTACTCTCCTTGCGGAGGTCAAAGGGCAGCGACGGAGCAGCTCAGCCGATAAGACCTCTAAGCATGCCGTCCCCACCTAGCTTATTGTGCAACTAAAAACATGAATTATTGCTATGGTATCCATGCTGAGGTGCATTGTGAGGAGGGAGGAACAATTTCCCTGGTGTAACTCTGACTCTCTCTGCCCCTGAGTTTGTGACCTTTCGGTTGCATAAATGGTCCAACATGCACGCAAACAAGCACGTGTCTACACCAGCGACTCACACACGGGCGGGTTGTCGGAGTCCTGGCTGTGCATGGAGCTCAAGCCCGTGTCCGAGTCGTCGTCATTGGTGTTGCAGGCCTTGGATAGACTCCTGGCCTGGTTCGCCCAGACGCTGCTCTTATCCGCGGACGCCAGCTTGGCCTCGGCACCCGCCGGGCCTGGCTCTCCCCCGCCCTCGCCTTTCAGGGTGCTGTCCGCCTGCTCAATCTCCATGGTCTCCACTTTGGCCAGAAGGTCCAGAAGTTCACTCTCTCTGGTCTCCCAGAGGGCCATGCTCAGGTCCAGGTCACCCCTGATGGCGTCCATGTCCGTCTTCAGCCGTAGGCCGATGTAGAGACTGGTGTCCAGCTGCGTTTTGATCCTCTCCTCTTCCAGCGTGAACTCGTCTTCGGAAAAGCTCTCCACATCTGGCCCTGCAGCTGGGGCGGCGGAAGTCACAGCCGCACGCATCTCCTCCGTGATTCCACCGGCGTCCTTCGCTGCGTCCGCCTCCCTCTCGCTGCGTCGCCTCTTCATCCATCGCCGGTTGAGCTCCTCTTGGATCTCTCCGGTGATGCACTCCACGAGCGCTTCGCGCTCCGTCAGCTCCTCCTGCAGCCGCACCACCTCCTCGCAGCGGCGCGCGTAGTCCTGGAACTGCGCGACCGCCTCCGCCGTGGGCCGCGCGTCCTGCCGCTTACAGTCCGAGGGAGCGGGAGTCTCCGAAGAGGAGGAGGAGGAGAAGGAGTCCACCATGTATGTGTCCTGCACATAGTTCACCCCGTGTCTCTTGATGCGGTCGAAGTGCACTTTGGCCTCGTACCGCTCGATCTCCCGGTCCAGCTCCTTGATCCTCTGGAGCTGCTGGCGGATGGTGTGGTCCTGGGAGATCACCAGGTGAACCAGCGTCTCCATCTTCTCTGCGGAGCCCTTATCTTTAGAAACAGTCTGCTCTTTTTTTTTGTTCATCTTATCCAACTTCCTGAAAGCCTTTCTGACAATCCGCCTCTGTTTCTCCTGGGACAGGTTGGCGGCTGTGGCCGCGGCGGTCCAGCAGGTCCTGGCGGTGCCCTTCAGCCCGCCGCCTGGGCTGCCGCTCTCCCGGCTTTGGACCACCCGGGCCTCGGCGCTGCGTGGCCCGTTGTTGGGCAGCGAAGCCTCGTTTTTCACCAGGACGAAGCGCACGTTCTCCTGCTCGTCCCCCCAGGCGCCCCACAGCCGGAGGACTTTGGTCTTGTTGGGCAAAATCCTCTCGAAGCCCCTCCATTTCTCTACCACGCAGTAGGACTGCGGGGAGCCGGACAGCATTGCTGCCGAGGCGCCCTGCTGCAAGTTCTGGTCTTCCAGCAGGACTCTGACCACGTCGGCGCAGGTGGTGCGCTTCGTGAGCCCGGAGACAAGCTTCTCCTCCCGGCAGACCCACACGGAGATCTTTCCCTCCTCCGACTCCATCTGCGGTTCGACTCAACGACGACTAAGAGTTTCTGTTTGAGGCAAAACTCCGCGAGTCAAGTTCACTCAAAACATAATCAGCTTCATACGATTATGAGAGAAACGCGCACATCCTTCGCGCTCCCGTCGCCACGTCTTGGTTCCCTCTGTGAGTGCGCTCCGTCCAAACATGACATCCGCTCATGTTCTCCCAGCGGTCTGTTACTGGTGCTGCCTGCCGGGGCATCCCCTCTCTCCCCCGGGCAGATCGTCACTAGCCTGAGCACTGCTCCGGAGCGGAGCGTCCGTGCGTGTCGAGACCGGCTGCTGTGTGCTGGACGAAAACACGGGAGGGTTGCTGAAGGACTGGGACACGCACGCACGCTCCGCTCCGAACCGCGGTCTCCCTAATTTATTATTTTCTCCGTTTATCCCGAAAATCCGGGGCTTCCCTGCTTTCATCCACTTTCACATCCCACTAAAATAAATATCCCGTGAAATAACAGTAAAATAACAGTAAAATGCTGGCAATTGACTATGGTGATTCATGATTGATAATAATCAAAATAATCTTTACGTAACACTTTTACTTGAAGTACATTTCTGAGAGCACTACTTGTAATTGGGTGTTTTTTGTATAGTATTTAGAACGCCTCCAAAAAGTCTTAATTATTGTCTCCATTAACTATTAATCAGACTGAGGCAACAGGACCAAACAAGTCGGCATCTGAATAGCAGAAGCCGGTGTGAAGAGCGACGCCTCTCAGCCGAAATAATTATGACTCTTATGAAGTTGTCAGTTCGTTGTGTATTCAAATAGGATCCCACTCACAGCGTAAAGCGCTTCAATCAGTCAGCACAAATCCATATTTTACCCCCTCACTGTACTTTATTTAGGTAAGAGCTGCTGAGTGCTTTAGGAGTTATTCTTCCTGACCTTCTCACAACCAGCTCTTCTGGAAAGCGACATCGCTGTTGAGTTTATCAAGTGTATTTTTTCATAAAGATTTTTTACTTTTAGCACCGCATCAAAAGTTTTTCTTGATTTTAGAGTTGAACTGTGCCTGTTAAACTCACAATTCCTGTCTCAGCTGGTGTCTTGATGATTTATTACACATTAATAAAATACTTTTCACATATTCAAAACGGTTTCAGAAAAATAAATGGCCATTATATGTAAAAGAATATTTATACATTTTTAAATATTTGCTGGAACGATGAGTTCAAATCAAATTGTAAAAGACATGGCAATGACATCGGATCCTAATAGACAAGAAAAGTCATTTGTTTCCTAAAAGGTTTCAAGAAGAAGCAGATCTATCTTGTCTTTGCATTATTATACAGCCTGATATACCTTTTATTTAATTTAAGTAATATGAGCTATATTTATACAAATACAATAAATGTAATAATCTTGATTTTGCCTTTAGCCGACCAACTTGTAAAAGATAATTTACATTTCCAACTCTGTTACACATACAAGTTCATATTTTCATGGATGAAAAAAAAGCATTGTCAATTTCCGAACTAAATCCACGTTGGATTGTTTACAGTAGTGTCGTTTAGAGAACCGGCCACATGTTTGGACGGATTTGCCGGTGTTTCCCCACACACAGAGTAGGACTGAGGCCACAGCCGATGAATCCCACATGGAGCCCTTACTCAGCAGGATGCATTGTTGTGCAGCTTCATCTTCATAATCCCCACGGGGCCTGGACGCCTCGGTGTGACGAGGCGCAGCCTGTCCGATCACAGAGCAGAAAAAAAGAAACGCATCTATTACACCCTGCAGTAGTCCAACCCCCTCCCGCCCCCCTTTGACCTTTCAACTATTTCAGGACCGAAGACGGTCGCCGATGATTTATCTGCATGAAGTGTTGGGCTGGTGTGGGCTGAGTGTTTTATCCCCAACGGCCACCATTAATCCGCCTGTGTGCTCCGAGTGACGCATCAAGCCGGGTTTGTTGATAAAAGAACTGCGTGGAAAACCATCTGGCGGGTACATGTGCGTCTGCGTTAGTGTGTGCGTGCACATATCAGACATAAGCACACGGCAGCGCTCACCGTCAAACACACTGGATAAATAGGATTGTGGGGCTGCGTCTGGGATGCAAGATAACAGTCTTCTTTCCTATTTGTGATTTGTTTCCCTGTGAGGTCATCCTCGACATCTGGGTTTTGTTCTTTCAGGGTTTCCGTAACACAACGCTGGTGAATAGAAATGCAAGTTTAGGTTGAGTGGTTCTGTCAGACACGGGGTAGGCAAAGGCAGGACACAAACGCAGACTTCACAACAAAAACTACTTTATTAAACCCCCAAAATCCAAAAACCACCAGAGGGGAAAGCACGCAGACAGGAACCAGGAACCAGGAACGGGTAAGGAATTCACGGTTGAACATTCTTACATTCAATGATACGACAAGGGACAAACGATACACAGGTGATTGGACACAGGTGGAAACAATCAGAGACACGGCAGACAATCGCAGGGGATGACAGGACAAGGCAGGGAGTGAAGTTAACCCAGGGACACAAGAGACAAACTACAAAATGAAACAGGAAACAAACCCAAACCGTGACAGGTTTGCCCCTTTGTGGCTAAATTAGTTAAGATTATGCTTGTTTCTAATCAATAAAATATATATGTAGCCATAATCCCATTGTTTTAATAACAAATAAAAACAAATTGGTGCTGTTAATTATATATTATATACACGTGTGTAATACTTGAAGTTGCTTTGATGCTCCATCAAAGCAACTTCAAGCATTACTTTCACACACACACACACACACACACACACACACACACACACACACACACACACACACACACACACACACACACACACACACACACACGTAGTTAACGGCACCGATCGGGGGGTGGAGGTTTGGGGGAATTCTTTGAGTGTGGCTCCCTCTGTTGTTCATAAAGAAGAATACACCTCACCTAGATGAGGGACAAAATCGTTTCTTTTTTGATTAGTTTCTTAGGCAAATTTCACAAATGCCCTTCTTACAAAAAAAATCTTTCACAACTTTACACTGTAGTATGTTAAAAAAACTAAAATATGTACACATATTAAATATTTTGAAAAACGTTGAAAAATGTCGTAGTACAGTATCCCTCTTAAACTTTTTTGGGCTGTTCTTAACTTTATTTGACCTAAAAACTTATGGTATTTATATGGCTTTTTTGAGTTGACATATTATTCAATTCAGTTTTTACAAACTATGGGCACTCCTCAAATTGATCTTAAAGATTCACATTCCCACAAAACCACCACAGAAATAATAAGCCAATGCAAAGGTAACAATCTTTGTTGCAGACAATTCAAATAAAAAGGTAGTTTATTCCAAGACAAGAAACCTGAGTTCTGAGTATGGAAATTGTAGTCATTGTGAACTAACGAGTTAAGACAAAATACCCACGTTACAGTTTGGAACTGACCTTTTATTTAAACTGAATAGCATATACGTACAAAGTCTCTACAAAGCTAGAAAATATCTAACATACTTTCAGCCATTAGGGGGAAAATGTTACAAAGCAAAGTTCAGACCCTGTGCAGTACCAATGGACAACCATTACTAGCTTTTAGATTTTGCTAAATGTTCTCTCTTCTTCGCAAAATAGGATAAACATTAGAATATCAAAGATATACACAACATCTGTAATAAACGGTATTGTCACCTTTATATAAAGCACCTTATCAAAAACCCTCAGTGCAGATACAGATGTGCTGCAAACGCACTGGAGCGAAAAGATTCAAGGCCATTTCGGAATGGATTCCAAACAGAACCTCTGTGCCACGTGTGATTCTAAAAGAAGACAAATATCCACCTTGCACGTACGAGACAACATCCACAACACGGACCACGATGACTCAGAAACTCAGATCAGAACTTTGAAGCCTCTTGAATCACCTTCAGGCACCAGACGGTACACGCTGTGTTTCAGTGACCTAATCAGTGTGAGCACTCCTCTAGTTGATCTAAAGAGCGGACATTTAACAGTAAAGCCTTAAAGTGGAGCTTTTGTTAGGTTCAACACACATTTGGGGTTTCTGGGGCGTTCTTGTACTGCTTTTTCAGCCTGTCAACCATGACAACAAGCTGTCTATATTTCATAAGGTGAAATTGAAAAAATGACTTTAAAACCAGAACCAGGTTTCCATCGCTTTGTAGGTTTTTCTTCGTCTGGACAGTTTTACTGAGCAGCCCATGAGCTACGGATGTTTGCATGTTGATAGTCCTTTTTTTTTGGCAGAAGCTTGTGATTTACTCTACCTCGTCATAAATCTATTTCTCCTTTTGTGTCTTGTGATGACTGTCTTTGGTAAGCAGGTGATAGATAATGTCCCGACAGAGGGTCATCATGGCAACATCGGCCCTTCAAGGCTTTGTGGTGGGTTATCACGTCCGCGTCACTTGTTCGCTCGGTGCCGTGGAGGTCGAGTACTCTGCCCGCAAACAACTGATCATTGCAGTGTGAGACCAATCTGGGGAAGTTGAAGGCGAGGGAATTTTGTAAAGGGTTTTTTTCCTGACACAGGTGTTTTCGTTGGACAGGTGTTTGTATCCCTGAGAGACACCCACGGGACTCTTCAAACAAACAGTCAAAGTACAGTGATGTTGTCGCTGAGCATTTTTCAGCACAGCAGCCAGACGTGAGTCATCGATACGAGATAATACTTAACAACCTGCCAGTTCTGACTGACAATGGCTCATTTAAGGTTTGTCAAGATGGTAAAGGCCGCCCTAAACAAGAAACTAAATAATAGGGTATTTTGGACAACACATTGCATTAATATTCATAAAGATAATGTTTCAGAATATCACACACCACGTCAACCAGTATCACTTTTCTTCGTTAATGAATGCTGTTTTTTTCTGCAGCTATGTGAAGTTTAGGTTGTATTTTGTGAATGACAGACAGTAATCTGTCACGCATACATGTAGAAACAAAAACGAAAACACAAGTAAATGCAGCCATGAAATGAAGAAGAATCAGCATCTTGACACCTAATTCTAATTCACCTTTCTATAAAGCATTCACAAACACCAGGTCATCAGCACGCCGGCGAAACTGATGAGGAATGTCTGCTGCAGTTCCCAAGCGAAGGCTCCTCGTGCTGCTGAGCGGGATGAGCACCCCCATCAGCACCAGCATCCTGACAACATCCCACAGAAATGAGTCCTGAATTAAAGGGAACCGTCTTCCACCACAGTTGCCATGGACAAACCTTGATATAAATATGGACGTAATACTATTTTAGACTACAAGAATATTGAAAGCTGATCAGAAGAATCATAGGTTTGTTTTAACAGTTTGACACAAATATTGTTGTTTTAAAGATTCACAGTGCTTCCCAATGGACTGACCACAATAAATGTAATATTTAGTTATAATCCTTCAGAGTTCCTGATATCAAGCTGTTGTTTGGGTACATTTAATAATGTGCATTTTTCGACAATAGCCATTCAAAGCATCATACTTCTTCCTTTCCCACTTGATATGATAGTTTTTGTTGTTAATGGTGGAACTTTATCTCATTGCCCAAATGTTTTAAGGTCCTATCGTGGCTGTATTTTGTTAATGCTAATGCTAACCCAGCATTCCCTACTGCTGCTGTTCACAATAAAAGCCTCAGCTTTTAAAGCTCATTGCTTTACACGCTTGCTTTATTTATGCACAAAATGGTACCTGAATTGTTTGATTTTACTTATACTTTTTAACCAACAATACATGTCAGATAATATTACTGGAATTAAAATATAGTCCTATATGCTTTTATCAATAATCTTAAAATTTTCCAAATTTTTTTTTTAAAAGAAAACATAAACATTTAAAAAATTTGATTCCTTTACTTTGGGGACAAACCTATTTTAGTATTTTCTGCATGAATGGAGCTAACACAATTTTGAGTGACTATCTGTACAAAATTCTTGTTGTTCTATATGCAGCAGTGTGACCATCTCTGGTCCTTGATGATACACAGGGTCTGACTTTCAGTGTTCGTCAGTGTCTCGGCAGATAACGCACACACACCTTGTCACAGGCAACAATTGAGAGTTTTTTTGTCCCTTGGTTGACATTACCAAATACAGTACAGCGAAGTACAAATTAACTGGGACAAAAGTGGGAAAGAAAGTAAATAGCGGGGGACAGGACAGGATGTCTCCAGGGTGGGAGGGTTTGTGGTAAAAAAAAAAAAAAAAACCTGGTTTGATCCCGATGTGTTTCCTGTGATTTTAACAGTTAAGGAGCATCTGCCATTTAGACTGGCGTCATGATTTATGCGTATGGATATTCTCCAGTTGAGATTCTTCATCATGTCTGATGTTAAATAGAAAAAATCCCCAAATGTTGTGGTGGTGTTTTGTGAGCAGCAGTGAAAATGCAGCCATTTTTCGGCTCAAAGACACTTAAGTAGTATTCTGTTTTTGGACATTTTACCTGCAATGTCAAAAAGGCCATGTGTGTGTGTACACGTGGGTGTGTGTTATTCCTTGACGAGTCGATAGATGTGGTGCTGAGCTCCGTGCTCATTGTTGGACACCTCAAACACACACGCCATACAAAGCAACGTCTCGTGAGTGTCTCTGTTGCTGACCACCTGGACACACACAGAGGAAAGACATTATTAAATAAGTTAGGTGTTGCAAAATGTCTGGTGATACTACAGATGCCCCGAGAGCTCAGTGAGGGAGAAATTGTCAGGATCATGTCGTTTTCAGCCACAACATGCTACCAGGGGGCTATTGCACAAACCCAGGATAAGGGATTAAGCCAAGATTATTCAAGTTATCCTGGATGAATTTAGCTTTGACTTGGCCGCACAAAAGCAGGTTGAATTAAACCCAGCCAAGTAACCATGGAGATGTATTCTTTGTAGCTAGCAGTCAGGCTAAGATTAATTCTGGAGTCCCATGTGTTAAATCAGCGGCCGCTCTGATCCGAAATAAACAGGTTTAACAGGTTTTTATTGCCGTGGGAGATGCCGAAACTGTAAATGAAATGTATGTTTGGCACTTGACACTACCTTCCCATGCCACATAAGAAGAATGTGTCAAAGAGGATTTCCACAAGATTGCAGATAACATGAATTATAGATTACAAAAAAAAATTGATAGATGAGAAATGTCTGCTCACATATTTAAGTAATTTCTGCATACCATTTGTAAATTTACCAGCCTGCAAAATGTTTTTATATTTTATCTTGACTTGTGGCCAGGATCTTTTTTACCCAGTCATGGTTTAACATTAGTTGTAGAAACTAGTTGTAGAAAGATATTTAGAATAGACACAGCTTATAGATTTTGTGCAACCAAACATATTCTCGCGTTGTGAATAAGGGTTTGAAATTAGCCCAGGTCTATTTACAGAGGAACATTAATTCCCTCTGCTCACTTTTAAGGCTATATATAGGCTCAATAATAATAATACACTTTATTCATATAGTGCTTTACATGGTAGGCTACTCAAAGACACTGTACAGTAAAAAACCAACGCATTTAGCATATTAACAGCAAAACACATAAAACAAGCATATTGAAAGCAATTAAAACAGAGTGTACAACTTTCCTAGTAAGTAGATATTTTAAAATCCTTCAGTCGGTCCGCGGTTGTCTGCCAGGCTTTTTCTCTCTGTTTAAGCTGCCGTTTATCCTTTTTTGCATATTATATGCTTCACCTCCTCATAAGTTTCCATAATTAGTTGCAGCTCAGCGGGTGAAAAATATGCTGCACATCCATCGATATTGTGGTCTATTTGGGAAAGCCATGAACGCGCACTTATCCCAGCTACGTACACATGAATTGACTTAGCTCCCCCTTTTCACTTATCCTGTATTACTTTATTCTACTTTTGTGCAATAGACCCCCAATTAGCACCAACTACAATATATTTCTATTAAAAAAGAAAACACATAATTTAAATATTATAGTGTGGAGAAGTAACGCCAAATAGCTTGATCTGACGCAAAATGTAAATGTGCCGACGAATTCAAGTTGATAAAACAGACAGTTCAAATAAACAACGCATAATTACAAAACCATGTTTGTAAATTACGACAAATGAGCTCACAGTGGCATAATATACTAGCAGCTGACTTTTTTAGTTTTGTGGGGGGGGGGGGCTCCTGTTAATTAGTCAGTTAGTCAATTAATCAGAATTGCTTTAAGAACCAAAAAAAGGCCCTATAGGGCCTACAAAAGGACTAGGGCGTCTTGTCTAGAGACTCTCGACTCTGCTTTGAGTCCAATTGAAGGCTGAATTCACCACTACCATACGTTCGTATGGTAGTGGTGAATTTAGCCTCTTGTGGCTGAAATGAGTATAACAACAACAAATTCACATTGACTGATGCCCTCACCAGCAGTATAGTGAAGTTCTCCAGCACACTGTTCATCATGTACTTCTCCGGCAGGTGTTTGAGCTTGTGGATGAAGTTGATCATGTATTCACACATTGGGGAGCGATTGATTCTGTAGACGAAGCGTCCGTTTTCAAACCTTGCGTACTCCGTCTGAGAGAGAGAGAGAGAGAGAGAGAGAGAGCAAAGTTACCAATACTAATATAAAAAGTGATGAGTGACCGCTGGAGGGGAACTGCAAGGTCAGATTACCAGGGAAAGCAGTGGTGTGTATCTTCTGTGGCTGTAGTATGACTACTACATACACTGCTTGATTTTGTACAAATCATATGTTTGTAAATATAGGAACAAAAAGTCTGTGGCATTATGGGATGTACAGGCTGCGGTGTCTTTTCTAAAGTAAATGACTTGGCGTAATTGGCGTAATTGTTGAATGTTTTTACAGCTGAGTGCACCTAATTTCAAATATCTAATTCTTGAAAGAATGCCAAAGTTTATGTAAAAGTTTATTTTGCCCTTCAAGACTGTTTTTTTAAGTTGATGTCATGGTTTGACTTGATTTGAATGTTCAACCACCGTGTTTACTTTTATTGAATACATTTCTAAACCACTGTCTTTCTGTGAGCACATCTTGAAGCTCTCATTAATTGCCGTCATGTTTATTCCTTCTATCAAAAAAGAATAATATACATAAATTTATTTAAAATATCTATATTAAAATAGTATATGGATTCCAGTGATACAGTGCAGGATAGCAGATCTTTATAATCCGAGTTTGCTACCAGTGAACAGGGTGCAACTTGTGCAAGCATCCTCACCTCTACCTTCTCGACCACCTGCTTGCCGAAGGAGCAGACCTTGGTGGAGCAGGTGATAGTCATGTTCTCCGAGCTCTCGTATTGGCTGCTGACACCGTAGAAGGCCGCCGGGTCATCCTGCACGTTGTAACTGAGGTCGGCCTGGCAACCGCATAGTAAGAAAAAGAAATGCAAACATTACCTACACAGCAGTAATGACGGTACAACCTGTCTACACAAGAACTGTCCACTTGCTGCCACCTGACTATCGGCGCCATCTGCTGGTCACTAGGCAACAACACAGGTGTGTATGTGTGTGTGTGGAGCATCTGGACCAGAGTGACTGGAGTTGTCATCACTTTTCATCTTATTGTGTGCTGCAGTCACATTTGACACAAGGACAGAGCGGATCGTACATACAAAGCAGACATGTAGTAATATGCAGGAACTAGTTCTGTTTTCAACTGCTTTACTTTACCCTGTCTGTTGGCCCAAATAACAAAGAAATACTCTATGCCGCCTGTTAGCGAGATCAGATGTGCATGGAGTCTGTTTGATGAATATTTTTTCCAGGCTTTGGAGACATTGGCCTTTGAGATTTACACCTCTGCGAAAAAATCCAATGGAGGTGAGTGGACAGAGAGATATGGAACCTTTTCAAAGAAAGGTCAGTGTTTTATCAAAACAGGGATACCTATCCTGGGAAATCCATGTATGTTTACCAGTTAGCAATGTCTGTCTATCATGTCTGTCAATCTTCTCCTGCTCCCCTCTTTTAGACCAAAATAAATTATTAATTAAAAATGAGTTTAAAATTGAAAAAACTAAACTAAACCCAGGTGGTCAGACTTAATTTCTATTGCTTTGAGCATCATCAATACAATTATTTTGAGGACAGAGACTGGAGAAAAATGTATGTATTTACAACAAAACATATCTAATCAAATCTCCAGTGCCTTTGTTCGATGTGACTTTTGCAGATAAGATCTACTTTTTACAAAGTAGTGGATACCGCATGCCACACAAAACAATATTTCTTCTCTTTTAATTAGAGCAGCGGTGAACCTGGTTTACAGGCGGAGACAAGAGGAAGACGGTTTGTAATGAGTTCTCCAAGGAGCGCCGTGTGTGTCGGGGAAATCGAACGCACACAAGCGCTCACCGGGTGCTAAGTACGTGTACATTCATTAACACACACAGACATCAAACTGAGCTCTATTAAGATTATCAGAAACATTCTCCATTGTGGATCAGAGATCAGAGAGCTTTTTAATTAAATTCAGAGAGAAGGCTTTCAACATGGTCTATCTCTCTCTCCTCTGCAATAGCACATCCCACCTCTTCTACATGTATTGTTTACTGCACTCACTTCACCGTCCTCTCTCTGTCCTCTACACGATTCCGGTGACCGTCCAATCGCAGCTTGGTAACCAGAACCAGGCACGGCGCTTTAGTAAAGGGTGTCTGCTGTCTCTTTTAAAAGGCTACCTCTTCTACTTTTTTATACATTCCAAATACCCCCCCCCCCTAAAAAAACACACAACAGCATATTTGTAAGGCACGTAACGTGAGCCGCAAATGTTAGCGAGACAGGCTAACTAAATTACCACCCACAGCGGTGGGTTAACCCAGTTACTTCTAAAGCCAGGGAGCATTTTGTGCCATTTAACGAGGTTTCAGGTTACGTAAAAAGAAAGCCGTCACAATGGCTACATCCAAGAGCGACCACAGTCGCTATTAAAAGTCTTAAAAATGAACAACTAAAGGCCCCTAGAGGTATTTGTCTCCCAGGTTTCTGACATTTACCATAATCTGATAAACCTGATCATCTTTCCATGTCATTTCATGAGGTGGAGGAGGAGGTAATAACAGTTGTAACGCTCATTCTGGCCTCAGTAGGCGCAAGCGCAACAAGCATTCCAGGTAGTAGCAAACATTGACTGGTTGTGTTTTCATTTTCTATTTATACATATTATGATAATGTGTGATAGATAATCATGGCAACAGTTTTGTTTTGTTGTTCTCGAGGACCTGTGACCATTACATTACATGTCATTTAGCTAACCTTTTTATCCAAAGCGACTTACATTACATTTTAGAGATTACTGTGAATTTAGAAAAGTAAATCCACCAGCGTTATTATGCGTTGTGCAAGATTTGAGATACGTGGAAAACAGTTGTCTCGAGGATGGAAGTCCCAGACCAATTTGGAAGATCATAATAAAATGTGCCTTGTCAGAATTCACCCACTTGAGACCTGCTCTGAAATTAGTTTGCAGCTCTTTCGAGACCCTCCGATAGTTTGAGTTCATCAGAAGTGAGTGTATGAGTGTCAGTACTTCTCTGGTGGAGAGAAATAGCTAAATGTTTGAGTCTTTTAGTGTACTGCAGCTGTGAAAAAAGACCATGAAAGTGAAACACACACACTCAGGTGGAGACAGAGCGACCTGTGAGTCAGAAGGTGAGCAGGTGTTCAAACAAAGGGACTTTGCTTTCATCAACCCACCACCTACATATCCCAGGTGGAAGGACAGAGCATACACGCACACACGCACACACAGACACAAACACAGCTATAAGTCGGGACAACAACATATCAACTGGGTGTAAAAATACAGGAAAAGTAGGGTACATGAAGAAAACATTTCTAAAACCAAATAATGAAAAGTAATTGGCATATGGAGTGCTAATTTATTTTCATCCCTGTGCAGATGATACTCGGATCCTTAAAAAAGACAGCAGGCATCAGGTCAGCGTTTGTCTGCTCACCCAGAACTTGATCAGGTAGAAAGCGTTCTGTGGGCCCTTGCCGAACAGCTCCTTGAGGCCACCCTTCTTCTCGGGGAACTTGTCGTAGATCTGCCTGATGTCCACACACTCCAGCATGGGGTCGCTGTAGCTCATGCTGCTCTGGCTGATGTTCACGAACAGGTGCTTGTTGTACTGAAGGTGGAGGGGGAAACGTTGAATTAGGCTCCAGGATGGAGGGCGAGAAAGTGAAGATGGATAGAAAGCAGCTGATCACCAGCAGCAAAATAAAGACGGACGGATAAGAAAGATTAAAGGAAAGCTCATCTTTAATTCATGGGATTTGGCCATTTTACAATTTGTTTTATTGTTAACAAGCACTCATCAATGCTGAGGACCCCTGATTAAAAAAAGTACAGTCTGCCTTACCGAAATGCACGCAGTTAAAGTTACCTATGTCAGACTAAATAAGCATGTTCACCTAGGAAACTGACAGGAATCACCCTATTGTCCCCTTTTGTCTGTCTGCTAAGGAAACAGGACACCTGGGTTGGTGTCCAGCTGAAATTGCAATCAGCTATATTTGGAACGATTATGATTGCATTTTATTGTATAAAGGTTGCTAAGATCCCACTATTTTCTTTGTATCTTCATTACTTGAATTCAGATTTCTGTTGATGGTTTTATGGTTCAAAAATGTTCACTCACCTGCAAACGCAGAGGAAGAAAATGGTTCACGACATTGATGTGAGCAATGGACAAAATTGCAAGAATATAAACGGACCAAATGTGTTACTGAATCAGAGAACAAGCAACCAGTTACTTATTTATTTTACTGGATTTTATTTTAAAAAACAGATAGATTTGTGCTATGATTAGATACTTGTCTGAAATAGTTAAATTTATTTTCGCCTTTTACAAATATTCTGCTTTTTGTCTCAGCCATCGTCTCACGTTTTAGCTAAATTATACATCTCACTACAAAGCCTCTATTATTACATTACTGTAAATGACGCACCATTTGACAGCAGAGTCCATTTTAATCTCAACGTGGAGCAGTTTGAGGTTTGTAACTGTCCAAACAATTGTTACAAGATGAATGCCGGCTGTCTGTGAGTCCAAGGTGGAAAAATGACAGCGACCAGAGTGTGGCAGGATGACAGATAGACAGAGCCCGCGACAGAGATAGAGCTTTACTAAGGTTATTCATACCGGGACACACACAAAGGGATTTAACGTTGTTCTCTGATGTGGGGTTATCCGTCATCTGTGTTCAAGGGACAATAAGGAGTACTTATTGTGGACTGCTGCTCTGTGTGTGTCATACTCACTGCCTCCTGGTCCCTCTGTGTCTCCAGGAAAGATGAAAACTCCACCAGTCGTAGTTTGGTGGTGCCGATGGAGCGACCTTGCCACGCTGGCTCTCTGTGCGTTTGGGCTGCAGTTGGAGGCTCATAGGCTAAACAACACAAGCACACACACACACACACAAGATCATTATAACCATCCCCTACGGCCATGCTATTTAGCTGAGTTAGCAGTACCGATAGCATTGTTCTTTCCTCCACTTGTGTAAAATGAATGCTTCACTCAAGTATCACAGGCAAAAACCGAAGTGAGGTGTGCAGCACATAGAGGCAGTTAACAAAAGAAAATGACTTCAGTTTTATTGCTGTCAGATTTTACGTCAGATTTATTTTGTAACTAGTAAGTTATCACTGATTGTGTCCATTTTAGTTCCACCTCAGAGCCAGATTTTGGGGCAGCTTCTCGATGCACCATTGTTAGACATTCAATTCTTATTTTAAGGAAGAGTAACCCAAGTTACTAGGCCAGCGAAGCCGAATGCATCAGTAGCTGCTGCGTGGTACCAACATGAGGTGGGCTCACTAACACAAGTGTCACACTTTGGCACCAACAGAGCGCTCACGACCAAGAAGCTGCAGAGATGGAACGTGCTTTACCTAGATGTTACTGTACTGCTGAACAGTGCTCTCAATAAATTGCCACAATTTTTCAAGATGGACTCAAATGCCTGATGGTGTTACAACAAGACATTGCCGGCACTTGTTATATAACTCTTCCATCTACTTGTAAATAGGTCAAATACCACCATATTTCCCTATTAGTTAGTGTGCTCAGGGTGATGGGCAGTGTTGGGTGTCCACCACACAGGGTTTGGCATCGAGGCCCAAAAGTTCAGTTTTGGTCTCATCTGACACCTTCTTCCACATGTTTGCTGTGTCTCCCACATGGCTTGTGGCAAACTCCAAGCAGGATTTCTGATGGTTCTTTCAACAGCAGCTTTCTTCTTATTACTCTTCCATTAAGGCCAGATTTGTGAAGTACACGGTTAGTAGTTGTCCTGTGGACAGATTCTTTGGCGGAAAGTACATTTTCAATAACAGTGTCATGCTGGTGTGTCCAACATGCTAAAGAGCAGGTAGTCTGTTGCAATGGTTCCCAACCCAATTCTAGCCTGTAGCCTGACGATGTGCATCCGTCCACAGCTCCAGAGAGGGTCATATGAAAGGTAACATTGTAGCAATGAATTAATCTCTTTATTGTTCTTGTCTGGTCAGAAAAAATACTCCGCCGGTACACCCCCCAGCGTCCGCAGTAATCTGCCGATACACCCCCCCCCCCCATTGTAGATATTATGTCAATCAATAAATCAGTGGCGGGACTGAGAGCCTGTGATGAGGGGGGGAAGTGAGCGCAGCAGGAGAGCTGCAGCAGAAAGTCACGGAGGGATGGCGATGGCAGTTTACGAGTGTCTTAAAAGTGTCCTACTAGTGTTTCACCATTGTTTTACCGGTGTTTTGTTGTTCAATTATATTTAGGTGTTATAAAAAAAAGTAAATAAAGGCGGGGGGGGGCGGACACTACGGCTGGTGGGGGGGGGGGCTACAGCGGGACGCTATGGCCGACTCGGCTCGGGGACCGGAGTCCGATTCCTTGGCATGAGGAATTGTATGTGTGGCCGGAGTGCGTGACACTTGAGAGCCCTGTATAATTTCCAGTTAAAAGACAGTCCGACTGTGAAGGGTCCGTCCTCTGCTTCCTGCTATAAGGCCCTACCCTTTCCGTAAGAAGTTAATGTCGTTGTGTTTTCCTATTTGTCGTTGTGTTTTCCTATTAGTAGTTGTGTTTTGCACTTCAGGGCCACCGTACTAAACATCAAATTAAATAAACAGCATTAAATGCATCTGTAATAACATAGATAACTAACTTAAACACAGTTAAATATCTAAATCTATGGTTTAAATACACGTATTCTGCCACCTACTGGAGATGCGAACATTTTACATTGCGTCTCCTAAACTGTCTCTGGTCTGCGTTCACTGAAGCAACACAATCCATGGAAAATAAATATCCGAGCCAAGAGCAACGAGTGTGCCACTGGCGTGTTCAGGGAGTGGCCTAGGGTGTGCCACCCCAATATCTTAAAATATGATTGGCTATATGCCCAGTCAGAGGCGGGCCACGGCACTGAATGTAAACTGCACTCTTGTTTAGAGTTGCAGTTTCTTCTCAAACCTGAGAGGCAGAGATGCGCTAAAGTAGTATGTAGCCTGCAAAAAAAAGGCGCGAAAAAAAGGCTTTTAAGTTGATCTTTACTCAACACACTGATTGGGTGTTTCCCCAACAGACTAAGTTCATAGGTGCATCTCAATATAGATATAGATGTTCTAATAGATTTTATATAAATATATTTATATTGTAATATATTTATTTATTATATATATTTATTATATGATATTTATATTGGATATTTATAATAGTTACGATATTGTAGTTATATCATATTCTGACATTTTATATATATATTCATTAATATACTGAATTGTTTGAATAAGATGTCATTATGTTAAACTGTAAATGTTAAATATTTAACTGCAAAGTAATAATGCGTCTTTGATACGCTTTTTTGCATTGAATCATACTGGGATGTTTACTTAATCTGATTGGCTGGCCACAGTCTCGGGATATGTATGTGTATGTGTGTATCCACACAAAGTGCTCAATCGCAGATGGAGATAAGCATCCATCCTAGTGCTGGTAACTAACCAAATAAACCAAGGATATATATTTATTAAATGTTAATTTAAGTCCAACTTTAGCGTTTTTAGATTTGAAACTGTAATAAATAAAGCAACATTGTTCCTTATTTGTATGAAAGGAAAGTTGGATTGACACATCTCCCGTGTTGACCTCATCACTAGACGAACCCTGGGGAGGTGAGTGGGGAAGAGTAGGCTTTGGAGACCCAGGTGTCCACACAAGTGTCAAAACAGAAACAAAAAAACAAAAACACACTGTAGATAGCCAGTGGAGCAAATGGCAGCAAGAAAAGAGGACCGCCTGTTCGCTTTACAGAAAGGAGATAATCACACCTGAGATTGTGGTGGTCCCGGCTGTCTGCACGGTGTAGGCTTGCTGAGAGAACGGCTTGATGCTGAGAGAAACAGAGAGGCACACACAACGACGGACGGATGAGAGAGCGTTAAAGAAAGAAAGCTGAAAGAAGAGGAGACACAGTACAGGGCCACACAGGTTACACACAGAGAGAATTCTCCTTTATGAAATTGTAGGAGGGGTACAAAGGTTGAGTGTCTCTGAGTTCAGTACAAAGTTATGCTAGCCCTCATTTACTTCTTTTATCATTATCATCTTCGTCTCATGGTCATCTCACAATACACTAGAGCAAAGATAGTTTAAACTTTTAGCACAATGATCCCCGGAATCTACTGTGAACAGACACCAATGTCAGGTTTTTACAATCTTAATTTGGTACCAATGGAAATGTTTAAGTTAGATTTGACTTACTCTTCTGTGGTGGAGCTGGACTGTCCTCCAGGAATCATTCCCTGCCACAACTAAGAAATAAACACACACACAGCAATTCATATGTGTGAGTTCAAACGGAGCAAATCTACTCTACATATTGCACCAAAAAATAGGCATATTATGGTCCTTGTGTGTCCTGTGTCCCATTTGTAGAGAATAAATAGTGTCCCTATTTGTATGTTACCTGTGCGTTACTGGGGAAGCTGCTCCGCACTATTCCAGGCAGGAGCTTGCTGTGTATGGCGGTGGCCGAGACAATCTGGGCCGAGGACATGGACGAGATGCTCTGCAGGGCCTTCTCCTTGGCGTTCTGGTCCTGCCAAGGCAACAAAACACACACCCACACACACATCACCATTGTCATGAACACACTTGAATTATTTCAATGTCCTCGAGTGACGATATTTAAAATATTAACCTATTATATACTCCCGAATGGAGAGAAGAAATTAATTACCAGCAAAAATCTGACGATGTTGGGCCATATGTTTTTCATGAGTAAATACCTTATTTAGAGTAAGACTGTGTGTCAGCAATGAGAAAGAGGATTAAGGCAGAGCACCTTTTTCTGTGTGTGTGTGTGTGTGTGTGTGTGTGTGTGTGTGTGATGCTGTGGTTTGCACACCCGGGAGGAAGTCATAGCAACAACATCGGTGAACAAGCACGCTCAACGTGTTTCAGACCAGTTCAGTTGCCGTCAGGGGCAGCAAAACAGAAAGGGCTCCATTCAGAAGCTTTTACGGTAAGTCTGATCACATGTGGGCTAATTTGTAACGTCTGAACTTGAAGCAACGCAATACTCGGAGCAGAAAAACAGCTGAAAGAAATTAAAAGAATGAAAGGCGCTGGAATAGCTGGAGAATCGCTAATTGGCAGCTTCACTCAAGTTAATTGGCACTGAGAGAAATCGCTCCTCCTAGGGGATGTAATAACATTACAGGAGGCACCGAGATGGGAATCATGCTGGATTTTCATATTAAATACCGGGAGCCATATGGGTTTGATAACATCCTTGACCTGAACTAATGTCTTTGAAAACACCGGCCCATGTGTTCTGGTCTCAATAGGGAATCTACAGCTGGGAAAAATCTCATGTCACATCCAGGCTACCAGAGAAGAAAAGTACCAAGACAAGCCACTGATAACCAGGATCTAAAGCTAATGATTATGCAAGTGCTTACTAAAAGCCAATTTGTTCCCAATGAAGATGGTAAATATTTTTTTGTTTTTAAACAGTCAAAAAGTGTCATTTCAAAAAATGTGATCCTTGTAAATTCTCAAAACAACTGACCACTGTAGCTTTTGAACAAATGTTACTCAAACAGGGGCACCTTGCGCATTTGTTCCGGACTACTTTCAGATGCAGATCAATACACAAGTGGTTGCTCTGGTGAGTGTGAGTGCAACAGACAGGCTCATTGGTGCATTTGTAATATTTCTAATGGCACACCATTAAGTGACACGCAAACATACACTCACCAGAACACCACTGTGTAAAGAACATGTGTTACGCAAACATACACTTGTTGGTTGCATCCTTTAATCATTGGTTTGGGGGCTTTTAATTGGGTTTGCTGACAATAGGAATAGGAGTAGTTCTTAGTTTGAGGCTTAGGCCTTAGACTCTCGATTGATTGGAACAAGTTATTCTGAAATTGTAAATTCTTTTATAATAAAAATAGGCATCAGCGGAATACATAGTGATCTACATCTCTAATAAAAGCACAGAAATCATGAAGAATATTCATATTATATTTCACTAACATGACCAAATATTAACATACTTCAGACACGTGCCTATGTTCATTAAGGTTGTGACTATTCAAATAACCTCTCCTGTCACGTTTAATCAACCCCCTGTCATTCACTTTATGACAGCAAACATAAATTCAGCCCTCGCTGCATCTCCATTTGGAATTCCATCTGCTCTTCTCGGAAAACAAGCGCTCCTTTGTTGCTTTACATGAAGTTAATCACAACCAACAGAGGTGGAAGAAGAAGAAAAAAGAGGCGAGACGGAGGGAGGGGAGAAGGAGACTGCGGAGGGAGATGAATAGACTGAAAGGAGGGTGATGGAGTGTAAGGGTGGGGGGAGGAACGGCTGAATAAATGTGTGGATGAATGAGACAGTAAAGAGGAAGAGGAGGATGAGGAGACAACCTCAACAGGCTTAATTTGATACCTAGAATAGTGGCGTTAAGGCCATCCATCCAGCCGCACTAAAAAGTTATCAAGCAGATTGCTTTGATGTAGAGGGATTGTAAATTTAATTTTGATTTAAGATATTCACAGTGAACATTTAACCAATAATGTTTGGGGTTTTCATGCCGCCATTTGCTCCCTTATTTTTCCGCTGCATAACCCAAAAGCCCCATTGATGTGAAATCCGGTAATTTCTTTTTTCTCCAGGCTTCTGTTACAGCAGTTTCACTTTCTGTAAGTTTCACTTTCTCTTTAACCAAAGTGGCCAACAGTGCATTTAATCCACAGAAAGTGGGAATGGTGTTTTTTTAAACATCACTTCCTGTTCACAACTGTAACTCTAGTATTATGGATTAACCCCTTACCTTTAATTTGGATTGAAACTCTCTGGATTTCCTTCTGGCTAACACCTGGATGTGACTGGATACCTGAGGAGAGGAGAGAAGAGGAGAGGAGTAGAATAGAGGGGAGGAAAGGGTATAAGGAAGAAAGGGGGTTGGAGGGTAGAAAAGAGAAGAGGAAGGACCAAACAGTAAGTTGCTATGGTTATGAAAGGACTCCTGCCACACTAGGGGGGCGCCAGCACACACACGCACACACACACACGCACACGCACACGCACACACACACAAATGTATTAACACACTCACTACTCCCCTGACAACAGTGAATAGACCCATCCATGCACATCTTTTGAGAGAGCAAAAAGACACCTGGGAACACAGGCGACGAACTAAGATACTATGATTACACGGCATACACGGGCAGAAATGTAAGACGTCATTTTCTGTGCCCACGTGTTTGGTGGCATGCAGTAATATGAATGCCAAAAGGGAGCATTAACGCAATCTTTAAAAAAGAAACGAAACTGCAGTGAAAACTGCGTGAGAGCTGTTTTTTTGGAGTTTAAATTAAAAAAAATTCTCGTTGTGAAAAAAAGGTTTGGTTTTTATTTGCATGTAACAATATTTTATACCCGACTTCCTTGCTTTTAGGTACAGTTCTGAGCCCCTTGAAGATTTCCATTTTCTGTTACTTTACACTTCTAAATTCACCACCTGCAGTCAGAAATCTCCACTTCTCTTGTTTGGCAGTTTTGGTTACATTGCAGCTTCAGATAAAATGTAATCTGAGAATAAAGATGAGGTAAGGTTTTGCGAAACGTACGTTAGAGGTAACTGGGTGACATCCGATTTAAATAGTTTGAAGGACCACATCTGTTATAAGGAGGAGAATAAGCAGACGAACCACGCATTGAGCGTAAATAGTGTGCGCCTGCTTCGGCGCAATCTGTGGTCATTTCACACCGTGCAGCCTTTCACAAATAAAAAAGGGAGCACTGGATCGCAGTGTCAACGTCATGAATTACTTTGAGAAGGAGCTGCTGGGAACCATTAAGACTAGGCAGTGGAGCACAGCACTGGCCCCTCATTGAAACAAGAAGTAACTGGGAAGAACTACAACCTTCCTCCTGTGAAAAAAAGGAAATTTAAACAGTTTACCACCTTTCCTCGCTTTCTCCTAATGTAGAAAAGGGACATGTAACATCGGTTTGCCCATTCCCCAAACTCCAGCGGTGTTTGGCTCTTTTCTCGGCCGCTCTGTCCGACCGCTGCTGTTTAGCAGCCCCCCTCGTCTGTACATAACGTGATAAACTGTGATACATGCCGCTGGGATGTGATTGGATTTGGTGCGCGCGCTCCCACCATTACCTGTTTCCTCGTCCGCGTCTTGCCTGTTCGGAGCTTGATGTATCTGGCTATCAGCTCATTCCGACCTGAATGGGGGTGGGGTGGGGGCACAGGACACACTGGTGAGACATTCACATGCACTCTAAACATGCAATTTCAACCATCTTTGCTTCCCGATGGCGAGCGCAAATCACGTGACCCTGACAAATAACCCGGTGCCGGATTTAGCTCCGTTGACCTGGCGACCCCGGTGTCTTGCGGTTTTCCACTTGAGCCCTTCGCCGAAGCACTCACACACACAAAATCACACACACACAACCACTGCCCTGAATACACATGACCCAACAATACAGGTATTCATGCGGACCGGCCGTCCCCTGATTAAAGGAACCAGAGGGGCAGCTGTACCCATACTAACGTGCACACACACCACACACACACACACACACACACACACACACACACACATGCACACACGCTTTCAATGCTGAATAATTCAACCCATTCAATAGGGAGCACAGCAGACTCAGCATGTCCTGGCTAGCATAGATTAGTGAGGGACGGGGAGACAGAGACGGAGAGAGAAAGAGAAAGAGCCTGAGTATGCATTTGTTGAGATGTGGGAGCGTCTTTTGACCCTCAAAATTCCAGTTCCTGTGAAATTACGTAATTATTCAATTAGCTAACGAGTTCTCCTCAGCGTGTGGCTTACTTTCATGTGTTTATCTGCAAGTGGAAAAAACGTAAAGCCAGCTGGCCAACTGATGGTCAAGATCAACACAAAGCCAAACCCCTCCACACACACTACCCGAATGGCTCGCAACAATAGCCCTAACTAACTAGCAGATGGCATGCGTGGACGTGTGTTTGCGCATGTGTGTGTGTTCTGACCAATCCAATTCTAACAGAGATAGGGAGCTTAAGACTGATAACATCTACCGCTTCCCCCATGCAGGTGTTCAAGTCAAAAGCTGCGACTGACGACAGCACACACACACACACGCATAGACAGACACACACACGCATGTATGTACATGCATCAGTGCCAACACACACATACACAAACACAGAGACCCTGGCTGCTGAGGCTGACATCTGACTCCAGAGGGGCCAGCTGGTCTTTCTAGGAGGCTTAACGGTGAATTATCATCCTTCACTAACCCTGAGGCACACATCCCTCGCACTCCCTCTTTCTCAAAAACTCTCCAGAACACACACATGATATCACACACACACACACACACACACACACCCTCGGTGAGTCCATCCAGCCATCCGTTTTGGCTGCTCCCTTACTGCCCCCGCCCTCTGTCCTTCTTGCAGTGAATGGGCTTCCCTTCTGCTCCACCCCCCCCCCCTCGCTTTCTACTTGCCCAGTAAAAGACTTCAAGGCCAAAGTCAGATGGTCATTAACCGTGACGAACAGAAGCCCCCCTCCCCTGTCTCTATCTCTGGACTGAAGCGGCTCTGTGTGCGAGCAGATATCGAGGGAGCTGAAAAGAACCTCAGTTTTATAGGATTTTGGACCGTGGAAGTTATAATAATAAAAATTAAAAACACAAAGCAGAATATATTCTTAAAACTGAGAAAGTGACCCAATCTACGGCTACTGAGAAGTTAAAACCTGTGAGAAACTGAGGTATAGAAACTGCAGCTTCCTGTACATTTTTGGGGGGGATTCAGGGGGACATTTTGGTGGGACTTCACCCTGGTCTTCCAAAGAAGCATTCACAGTCTGTTCCTGAGTCCAATTAGCAGAGTTACTTAGAACTTCAGATGACAGGGGCTTCTCAACGTCGGTCAGTCCCCCCGCAGGACAGCTCAAGTGTTTTTTAAACCTCAGCCCCCATTTGTCTCCATCGGGAAACATTTAGTCAATTGTGGATGTCTTGTTATGTTTGTCTGATGTATAACACATATATACAGTACATATGTGATATATTCTAAACACATTTTAATAACTACTTCTTAATACTGTTTTTGTTACATCAAAATTTTAGTTTGCCTTCTATATGTTGGTCATTTCATTGCAAAAGGTTGAGGTGACTTCTCACCCGGCTCTGGAGCAGCCGGCCCACAGCTAACAGCACCGCTACAGTGCAAATAATAGCAACAGGGCTGATGAAGCTAACAGTGTTAACCTGAAGGTTATTTATTAGTGGTTTTGCCAACCACTGATATAACTGCTAACGCTATTGTTGTGTCCGCTGCATTGTGTACACAGGCAGGCTTTTCACATTTCAGCCCTGATGAAGGATGTGATGCAACAGCCCCGCTGAGAATGAATTAAAAAATCCTTGAAAGGCGTGTTGTTTACAACACCATCACGTGTTTCAATAAGGCCGCAGTGAAGATCTCTGGGAGATATCTGTGGTCTGCAACACCCCGGCCATTAAAATTCACAGTGCGTCGTGCCCCTCGCTAATACATCTGTTTTGAACATGCGCAGCTTCTCCACAGCTTAGGAGACAGAGAGGGTTCAATACCAATTAAATGACTTTCATATCCATCCAGTGGATCCATACAATGTTTCTGTAGGGGACAAAGCCACTGGCCATTACACTGTACCTTAGGCAAGGATAAAAGCTGTATTATTCACCTTTTCATCCTCTCTCCCTTTTATACACATTTATCTATTTTTTTCCCTCCATGCTTCTCTCCCACTAAGTTCATCCCGGCACTCTTGCACATTTTCCTTCTATTTTTTTTTCAGTCCATTTCCCTGCAGTCAGTTTGTGTGTGGGGGGGTTGGGCGCGTTAGACCCCTACCCATTAGATATTGACGCTTTTATTTTCTCAAGGAATTACTCACCTGCCACTCCGGCTATGTCCGCATTACTACATTTTAGCTTTAAAAGGCATTACTTTCTTACTTCTTCAAGGTTATGTGCACGTTTTTTTTCCGTTTATGTCACAGCGAGCATAAATACCGTACTTGTTACAGGTAATTTAAAGAGTGTTTCCTAAGAAGCATGGACTCTTTTATGACTCGTTATGAGTGTGGATATACCGAGCACATGTGATTTCCACATTGCTGATTTCCATGTCAAACGTTGCTCCACCTCGACAAGGAGAGTTGAACATATCAACAACATGGACACAATGTCAACAAACAGCGGCCAACATGCCACTGAGACAGACGGCAGAGGGACACCGGTTGATCCATGGCCAATCAAAAACACAAACCTTGGATGTTTTTTGGGGAGTATGTGGACAGCCGTGTCCATAACATACTGGTACGCACTTTGGGTCAAGGCCTGGGGACTGTTAGGCCTTATATGGTGACCCCTTTTTGAATCGTCACAAAACGTCTGAGTTACTACGGGGAACTTCTACCCATCTGTTGATTGAGGTCCATGAGGACAGACAACATTGTGCATCCACGCTCCAGACTCCCTCCAGAAAACGTCTCAATTTACTGCTTGCTACTAGTGAAAATGACATCCAATATCTGGGATTTAATTTAATACTTAGAAGCCTAAAAACTCCAGTGGAGTCATGAAGAAATCACTAAAGTGCACTCTCCATACAGGGGGAGGGTGAGGAGGGAAACAACAGAGAGGGGAGGGAGGCGCAGCTGGTGGCAGGCAGAGGACCATCTGTTCTTCAGTCTATTAGTTCATACACACACACACACACACACACACACTCTCTCTCTCTCACAGCGTCACGCTTAATCTCAGATGTGCACGCGCACACATGATGCACCTATAACACGGCTTGGATTCCTCTCTTTTACACTCTGTACCAGACACTCGAGCCCCCCCCAAAAAAACTCCGGAAGCTGGATGTGTACGCAACATTGCGTTTTTACATGTTGCACTGTCGGTAGAATCAAAATGCTCTGCAGTTTCTTTAAAGGTGCATCTCGAGATGAACACACAAAGCGAGTTACCTCCGCTATGTCCAAGATCATCTAGCTTCCTTCCACAGTGCCCTCCCTTTTTAGGAAAAATATACTGGTACATATCAATGCATGTAAAACTTTAAAAATTAAAAAAAACTGTAATTTATCAAAACAAAATATCAAACATTTCATGCTGAACAGTTGACGTTGCTGTTTTTTCATTTTACATCATTGAAATAGGATATTGTTGCTTTTATGTTGGGTTAAACAAAAAATCGGAAGAGGCCATTTTGGCCTTGGCCGTTTCTCACAACGAATAGTTCCCGCCCCTCTTTACTCACCATACATCTTCCCTTCATCTGACAGAATAATCTTTCTCCTTCCACAGGGCGGGTAGATGGCCAGGGCCTCCTGGAAGCTCTGCTCGATGTCGGGGCTCCAGACCCCCTCGGGGTCCCCATCCATGGTCTTATCCCCGCCTGAGTCACTCAGTCTCTCCATGTCGTCCCCTGGACTCTCGCTGCCGCTCCAGCTCCCGCGATCCATGGTGGCAGCTAACGGTACCTAATGCTAATGGCTCGAGGATGAGTAGGTGACGGGATTAAGAAACACTTAGAGGGACCCTCGAGCTGGCGTTAACGCTAATGGAAATAATTAACTTCCTGCGGGGACGGCCAGCTGACGAAAACGGCAAAACAAATGGTAATGCTAGCTGCCGCTGCTTTTGCCAACGGTAATGCAAAATGCTAACTACCAATAATAACAGACACTGATAAACTGTGGACAACTCTGCAAGATGGTCCAAAACCCGACACTTGACAGCAGGTAACCTAAAAGAGAAGAAAAAAAACAGAAGGGGAAGTTTGAATTAGCTGTAATTCCTTCTAACAGCCCACACTTCAGAGAGAAATTATAATGACACACTCATATAAATCGTCATAAACTGTGAGCTTAGTGCTCATGATTTGACTCTGGTTGACACACGCAACCTTGTTGATGCCCTTCAATATCCTGAATCCCAGAGCAACAGAACTAATGTCGGTGGGTCCAGTTTTTCTCCTCTTTTTTTTTACAATTTCTTAAATTTAAATTTGCGTTTGAACAGACGTGATAAAACACAACCTAGAATTTCAATCTCAGAAAACAGACATAATGGTAATGGACCATCCTCTCTATGGAGGCCACTCAGCGATTCTAAGTATATACTTTTATACCAAGGAAATATTTTCCCATGCAGCTTTAAGTCCCGATCAGCACATTGTAGGTCTGCATCCCAGCTGCTCATGGGAAATTATTGCCTCTTTTCATGTCGGAAATTGCCTATTTTGTTAAACTGCTGTGTAGCCCCAACAGCGAATCCCACATGCACATAAGTGGAGCGGAGTGAATGAGGGATGGACAGCACAGACAGAGACCGTTACTTACACTCATCTTTGAAGCAGATTGGAAAAAAACCAAACTGAAGTTAGCTGGCCAAGCTGCTACCATTTCTTCTAAATTCCCCCACAGTAACAGGCACTGTTGGCCTAGTACACACCACACATACACACAGGCCATATGCACACACTCACACAAACACACACGCACGGACATCCAATTGCAGTGCCAGCTCCTTGGGCGAACACATGTCATTTTGTCTGCTCCTTGACTGTTCACACCCATGCACTGTCCTTTGCCACAGCCTGCACAAGCCTGCAGTGTAAAGTGTATGTCTGTGTGTGGGGCGGGGGGGGGGGGGGGTACTTTTAACACAATTACATTTGACGCGCACACATGCAACAATAGCCCGTAAAAGCAGCGTGCAACATTTTGACCCGGCCCATTTCCTAAACACCTGGGGCAGAAAAAAATCTAACAAAAAAAGTGAAGAAAGAAAAGAAAGAAAAAATCTGAACAGATAAACCATCCGTTGGCTCAGACTCCGAGCTATGTGTAATGAACAAGGTCTGCTGTGTGTTTCACTGGAGTTTGTCCTCCAGGTCTCTATGCTTCATACTATTCCCCCTCATTTCCGTTTCCTCTTCAACATATCCACCCTGGCTTGCTTCCCACTTCCCCCCCACCCCTTCCCAAGCACTTAACCATCCAAACAAGGATTCATTCATCCAGCGGGCGTCTGCGGTCGAGCACCAGCGGCAAGATTTGTTACCTCTCTCAGTTTGTTTGTGCAACTGTGTGCACGAAAACCAAAGTTGACAAAATAAAACTGTGCTTTGATCATCTCAGTTAGACCGATGACGTTTTAATGGGGGAAATATATGATTGGAACGTCCATAGAAACTTTTCAAACCACTCCTGCTTCCGATTAGTAGGCTCAGCCTGTTTGCAACTATCAACATGTCAGGTCAATGTGGCTAAATATACTACTTCCATTTACCTCTAGTGGTTAAAAGGTGGGGGTGAGGGGGGACTGTCAGGGTGAACAAAAAACGTGCTGGAAAAGCTGAGATTGACCGTGCTGTTGTTCTGCCGGGAGATTCTGTGGCACAAACCAAAACTAGAAGAGCTGAGGCGCGAACAGAAAAGTCTGATAGCCGCTAAGCTAATGCGGCGAAAAATGTGCAAAAATGTGCCTTAAGAGCTGAGAGATGTGAAAACCTAATTTTGCAGATAACACTTGTAGTGCATAGCAATATAATTGAACTCTTTTTCGAACTATGACTGCCTGTATTATTTGAAAAAATTGAGAGTAAAAACTGAAGCATACTGTTTGTGGTGAAAGTACAGTATGTTTTAGGCTTTTATTATTTCTTGATTATCTTGGATCCAGCCGCGGCAAACAGCCATTGTCAGCATAAACGCTGCGATGAACCGATAAATGTTAGCAACTAGCTGGAGAACATAGTGGAGCACTTAGCAGAGCTATGGATTTTCTCCCAGAAGAGGGCAGAGAACAAAACAGCGCAACGAGGAGAATGAATATTGGAGTAATGTCCGTCAGAGCGACAGGAGCGCGTCTCCAAGTCAGAGTTTGTGTTGTCCCATGGTTGTTGGGTTGTCCAGGACTGTGGGAGGAAGCTGAACCTGGAGAAAAAACGCCACCGAAGCACGGACACCAAGAATCATCTTGGTGTGCCGCGTTGGTGCTAACCGCTGCTCTGCCGCACCATGCAAATGTTGATATAAATCCCACTGTTGTGTGAGCGCCACTCCTACATGTGTGGATGTTTGCAAATGATTTCTGTAGGTAAATTCTTCACAAGGCAGCTGATCAACAGGAGTGCTGGGATCACATGAGCTGGACTGTCACACGAACTGTTATGCTGCGTTCACACCAAAAGCGAAGCAAATTATTCGCGCGAGTAGATTCCATGTAAAGTCAATGCACAAACGCGACCGACTAGTCGGACGCAAGCGAAGTTTCCGTGGCCGGCACGGAGGACGTGGCGTGTGCAACGCAAAAATGCGGAATGAGCGAATAAATCGCTTTTTCAAGTGCCCGACGATGTCTTGCGAAAGCCAATCAGCGTTAAGATGCTCCGCTCGTCATCAGCGCGGTCCTGCAGCCAAAGCATGAATACACTGAATAAACTGCCACTCACCGGAAACACACCGGAGACTGAACACCTATAAGTTGGTGGTGTCTAACCGAGAGACGCTGGCACCGAGCCGACACCACAGAAAAGCGTTGGTGTGAACGCAGCATAACAAGAGATAAGACACACACCCTTTCTGCCACGAATAAAGCGGGACACGAATGAAGCGAAATAACTACAACTAGTTAGGTTAGTAATAAAGCGAGAGTAAAACGTGGCGAAAACATTTTTTTACCAACGGTAAGTATGAACTGGTTCAGACATCGCCTAATGAAACATTTTGGACGTAAACGTAAACTAGCTCTTAATAAAAGCTCATGTGTTGAGTGGCTCTGGTTTTGGTCTCCACCGACCCCTCAGCAGAACCTCAGGTCACGCTAGCTGCTAAATGCTCTGCTCCGTTCACAAGCTAGTCTGGTGCTATACAGGTAGGTTGCAGCTTTAACCAGCTTTAACCTCACAAATGGTCACTTGATGTTTTGTGAATATAAAAATATACTGCAGATTTTGCCCCCTGAGGTATCAAATCACCGCTAGCCAGCTGCCCCAACTCAGAAAGGATGTCACACACAAACCCTGCAACGGCTCATTGTGGCGAAAACCAGGAGAGCAAACCAGCGGAAATGTCTTCACGGTCACCGGAAAAATCCCAACCGAGGCGCTGGAGACACAAGAGCGAAGGGTCCCCAGCAGCAGATGGACGCCGGAGAGAGACATTAGTCACAGAACAATCAACTCTGACTGGGCGACTCGTCTGCACCCCGGGTGCCCCCACCTCTCTGTCACCAGGCAGGCCTGGGCCTACTTCAGCCAGGGAGAGCAGCTTCATGGTGTCAGTGCCAGGCCTCAGAGGAGTACACACACACACACTTAGGGGCACACAGCCACAGCCCTGCAGCTGCCTTGGACTCTCGCGCTCCTCCTTCTGTGTCCCCCTTTCTTCCTACTTCACTCCCGACGCACAGCACTCGCCAGGCTTCAGCCTCGTGCCAACTACACATATGTGTTTGTAAGCATGGCCTCTCGGCCGCCATATTCTTAAAAGCCGGGCCAGTGAGGTTGTAATGGACAGTAATGCAACTGATGTGCGAGTGCCTGCATCACCAGAGGGTGTGTGTGTGTGCAGGGGGTCCTGTTGGTAGACAAGTTGAATGCGTTATGACAAGCAAGTCCTTTCACTAACTCCTCTGTTGGACCTCTCAACGGAATCTGTTTTAACTGCTTCCAATGCACACACGCACAAGTTTGACAAAAGGAGGATTTTTCTCAAAGAAAACCTGGTTTCACATCACAATGTTTTGCCATGTTTTAATGTTCTCATAGTAGTAAATAATAGTCAGTATTTTTGTTTTTCCATCAAGGACCTTCATATCAATTGTTTTCTACCTGTGTGCAAATGTGACCCAGTGTTCAATTGCTCAACAGACTCAGGGGTTAATTTATCTTGCCACCCTTAGCAGCCTCCGCAGCGGACACATCATTGCACCTCATGTTATTCTAACAGACAGAATGCATTTGGGAGTATGATTTTCAGCCACAGCTGATGTGCTGTCTGTGCCTGAGCGCTGCACTGGTTACTATTTCAACAAATCTAACACACGCCTCTCTCTTTTACTACACTAATATGGGCAAGATGAATGCCATTCCTTTTTTATGAGAATTACTTTCTTGCATGTTTTGAATTTTCTGCATTGCTCCTTCAGATAGCTCTTTAGATGTATTCACTCTGGTCCGCTCCGTCTTCATTAAAGTGATGTTTGATTAATTATTAGTTACGCCCCAATGGGAGAGCAGCATATAGCTTCTTCAATTCTTCAATACGAGCTAATGCACACCGAAGAGGACGGACGGCGAGAAAGTGAGAGAGGGAGGGCCGCAGCGACTGGCGGAGGGCACTTCCCGTTATTTCGCCCATCTCCTCTTGCGGGGACATTACCATTTATGCGCACGCGCGCGGTAATTGCTCGCAGATTGCCCGCTGATTCAGTGGAGTGTTTATTTCCTCCTGGAGATCTGGAGATGTGTGTAACGGTAAAAGGCTTATCTTAGCGGCTTCCCTCTCCACTACTCTCACCCCTCTTCCACCAGGTAGGTTTTTAGCTGAGTCACCCCGGGCCATTGTGTGGCCTCTTCCTGGTGTGAGGAGGGCGGGGGGGTTGGCGTCACACGTAGACCGTCTCAATATCCTCCACCAGTGGACAGAGAGGCCGGGGGGAGGGTTGCAGCAATACCAACACCATTTAATAAGTGTGAACCTGGGCGCATTGTGCCGGGCCCCGGAACCACATGTGTGT